ATGTAGAAAGGCACAATTCACTTCATATTACACTTGCCTTTTTCCCCATCATTAGGTGGGCTTGGAGTTTCTCCCTCATTTTCTTTATAACATTGAAAACAGACAATAGTGATTAATTATTAATGTTATTAACAACCCAAATAAAAGTCAAAGACACCACAAAAGATGACATCACACACTAGGAAGCAAATCCATGCACTAAGCAGGACACCTCACTGATGAACACAAGAGTAAAGCATGTCCTTCCTATCCTATAAGAAAAGTAATAAAAACACAAATAAAATGAGGAATAATGAGTCATGTGATAAAGTTAGGAAGATTATAGCTATGGTTTTATGCTAATTTAAGAATTGGTGTAATTCACTAACTTAATTTTGAAAATAAAATATAGGCAAAAAACTAGTTCAACAAATGGGCTTCTTTATCTTCGTGAAGTTAAAACAAGTAGAAGTGATATTAACTACTGCGAAAGTCTCCAAACTAACAATATCCTAAAAAAATAAAATAAAATGACTACTATGGCAGCTAAGTGATGAGAAGTGAGAAAGCCTTTCACTATTCCTATGAACTAGTAGTTTATGATATATAGGAATGAGCAATACGAAAACATTAACTGCACAGCTAAATTAAAATAAAGGTCATTCTTACAGTATTCATAAAAATGTTATTCCTATAGCATTTCAGGAAAATGAAAGAGGTGTGCCTTTCTAGTAGTCGGTATACTAGAAATTCGTTACAGAGATAGTTATGCATTTCCATAACCATGCATCTAAACTTGCCTTTGCTTTCATTATCAGAGGTACTCTGCTGATTTTTCTCATCTGTACGACATTAAAAATAGTTACGATTAATTAGCAACAGCTTACGAAGTCTTCTGTCTTAAACTACACACACCATTAAAAAATGTATCCATGAAATACGTCGCATGCACAACTTACATAATGGCACTGCTTACACAGTGTTAAAGGACAGAATAAAAAGAACATAAAATACCCTCTACTACTCATGAATAAAAAATGATGATGAGTTAAAAATGATAAAATTAGATCTAAAGATATTCTGCATTGTTCAAAGAAATTAGAAAAAAGTTTCTTTTAAACAACAGCTTAGGTAAGATTAGGATTCAACTCTGAGTTTCAAATTAAAATAGTAAATACTGGATAAGTATATAAAATATTTACTGATTTCAGAAAAATTCTGACAAAGTGGCAAAATTATGATATGTAAGTGTAATAGGTACTTAAAAAAACAAAATGAAGTTCTCTCCATAACCATGGAGAAGGAGGACTCTTAGGGAAGAAATTATAATGGTCAATAAATAGTAAAGTAATATTGAGCTGAGATGAAGAAAAGGTACCTACAGTTAATTTTGCGTATTTTAGGGGAAAATTCTATGGATAAAATGATGATAGTCTCTAAAAGTTTTAATAATTAAAATTTGGAGTTTATATTCTACCCTACATTCACTTGTAATTTGCCTCCACAAAATCAAAATTCTTCAAAGAGGAGGCGAAGACTTCAATGTACCTCTGCTCAGTGTAACACAAGGTAAAATGTAGCATTTCAGTAGGTACTCAATTGACATTTTTTAATAAATAAATGAACTGAATGTAAAGCTGGGGTAAAAGATAAGTGCAAATCATGGTCAGAAGCACTGCCTATAATTTTAGTTTGATGAAACATTAGGATAATGTTCAAATGGGTGAATTAAGTATTCAGTTAAATTACCTAGATAGCTTATATAATATCTCTCCATTTAAAATTAGGTAATTTACTTTAAAATTAGTACTGGGAAACAATCTGTTCTTTCTTGTACACTTATGAATTTAGAAATGCAAAGTCAGACTTCTAGAACACCCAGGTATTTAGTTTACACACAGACAGACCTGCCTTGACCTCGACTCCCTGCTCCTCTCCCCCCTGCTCTTCCACTTGCCCAGTTTCTTCATTAACTTCTGCTTTTGTAAAAGTAAAAAAAAAAAAAAAGACCAGATATATATATTTGTTACTCTTAAGTAAAACAAAACATTTCAAATTATTCATGATATATTAGTGATTATTAAAAGACTAAGATTATTTTAAACAAGTTTCTGACATGTTATGTAAGCAAATAAGTATACCTGTAATAAATGATCAATCTCCTTTTATAATCACTTTGATTTGTAAAGAGAAATTGTGGCCCCTAAAATATTAGCAATGGTGATAACTGTGTAAAAATTTGTCTATTGACTTGAAGCATTCTTATAAAAATAAAATTATATAACTTTTCTTCTAGAGAAAAAATATGAGATTATAAACTCTTTTATTTTTACAAAATGCCACTATATCAAAGTTAGGGGAAAGTAAAAATATATTAGTAATGCCTTACAGTTGTTTATTACACTGTACTTTCATTATATTGTTTCTATTTTTTCTGGTTCTCAGACAAAGGGATGATTAATGCTATACTACCATCAAGATGAAGATATATATGGAGAAATATAGATGTACACACACATATATATATATGTATATATGTATATACATATATATATATATGGTTTTAAATTAATTTCATTAATACACTGAAATATAACAACCAAAATAAAAAAGAATTAAATTAAGACTTGCTAATTCTTTAGGTGCTGAACAGGATTACAAAATAAAAATGTCATTACTTTTATTCCAAAAGAATGCAATTAAATGATAACTTCTTATAACTTTTTAGAGAGAATCCAAACATAATTTGATTGACTATCAGTTGATACTCTATTTTCCGTTATGTCCCTTTTACTTCAGTTAGGAGTTGAAGATCTAAAGAGATATATATCTCCTTTAAAGCTAACGAAAATCACACAACATGTATCTACTGGTCTTTATATCAACATTTATAAAAACACTGTTAAAACCATTCATACTTTTAAGCAAAATAAACCAAACAAAAACCTGTTTATTTGAAACTGGAAAGAATAAGGGAGGTTTTAGCTCTCCTCTCTTATTTATAAAAATGGAAAAGCCATCAAAATTTGCCGAAACCGGTTTGGCTCAGTGGATAGAGCGTCGGCCTGCGGACTGAAGGGTCCCAGGTTCGATTCCGGTCAAGGGCATGTACCTGGGTTGCGGGCACATCCCCAGTAGGAGATGTGCAGGAGGCGGCTGATCGATGTTTCTCTCTCATCGATGTTTCTGACTCTCTCTCTCCCTTCCTCTCTGTAAAAAACCAATAAAATATATTAAAAAAAATAAAAATAAAAAAATAAAATAAAAATAAAAAAAATGGAAAAGCCACAATCAGGGACATTAAAGGAAAACTGTGGTTTTAAAAAATGATATAGGGCAGAAAACAGATAATAAATAGAATGTTTGCTGAGAAGCCCATTAGAAATTTCCTCTGCCCTGACCAGGTAGCTCAGTTGGTTAGGGCATCATTCCAGTACGCCAAGGGTGTGGGTTCGATCCCGGGTCAGGGCACATATAAGAATCAACCAATGAACGCATGGAAGTGGAACAGCAAAGCACTCTTCCCTGTTTATTTCCTTCCTTCCTTTCTTCCCTCCCTTTTCCTTCCTTTCTTCCCTTTTCTTCTTCTCTCTCTAAAATCAATCAATAAATTTAAAAAAAAATTTTTAAACTTCATCAATCCTGATTTGCAGTATCAGCTCCATCTCAGTTTTCTGGTATACTGTATTTATTATTTAAAAGAATGTAGCTATTCATATTTTAATATTTGATTGCTATAAAATATATTAAATTTACAAAAAAAAGTCACATGAACTATGTTTCTGGCTTCATATGTCATCAAATAGCATCAAAATTCTATCTTGGAATGACAAAAATTCTATACATATTATAGAACTTTCCTTATGGAAAGTACTTTTAAAACGATATACCCCATTCTTATGCAAATAATTGAGAAGTATAGAAATTCTGCTGAAATCTTTTATCAGGCTGCATAACAGACCATTTAGTCACAAAAGCAGTGAGTTGTTAAAAATTATGGCACAAAGTAAACACAAATAACCACAAAATGAAAGCTGATAAGTCACCCAACTACAACAAGAACAAGTCATATAGGGCAATGAAAGTATTGCTGCCCAAAGGCAATGCAGTTGAGAATTCATTACAAGTAGGTTATGGAATCTGAATCTGAATCTAAGTATGTAGAGAATAACAAGATTATTGTAGTGGTGCGTTATACACTATTTGAAGTAGTTGTTCAGTAAGTTGTTCAGTTTTTATATAAACATTTCATGCATTCATTCAACAAATATTGATTAAGGGACTACAATGTGCCAGGCATTACTCTATGTGCTGGAGATTATTCAGTAAATAAAACCATTAATTCTTTAAAGTTACAAAGTCATTTTCAGAATTGTCTAATTAGCAGAGAAATGTTTTATTGTCCTAGTAAATGCATGACACGTCATATATCATGACTCAGTATATTCTCTTGAGTCATAATGTACTGTGACAATAAACCTGCAGATATTTAACTTGGCTATACTGTAAGCAGTCTTGCTACAACATGAAATATGATGGAAGAAATGCAAACCACAAACATTATCTAATTCAACAAAGTCCTCTTCTAGAAAGCCAAATTTAATAATTAAAGAGCACCATCAATACAGAATGAAATGAGGATGAGAACTACAACTAGACTAGGTGTACATCCTCAATGACATAAACACAGACTGCAATTGACACCTTTGGTTGAAGTCTTGCACACAACAGAATTCTGCTTAAAAGGCAAAGTAAATTTTTTAAAAAGAGGAAATTTTATCTTGCCGTTTAAAAGAAGTTAAACTCTTTGCAGTCTTCCTTGACTGGATCAAAAAATTTAACTCCTGGTCATCATTTCTACGTAAAACGCCAAATACTTTACCAGAAATCACATAACAAAATAATTTCACATAAAGGTCTATACAACGGAAGGGCATCAATTGCAGTTGGGTTTATTTTTTGCTTACAAAGCCCCCCAAAAAGGCTGTCAGCACAAAACAAACCCTCCTTTATGTACAGACCTTCACAAGGTTCTATCTCCTTGACTCCATTGTCTGGGAAAAACAAAATAAAAACAAAACAAAGAAGGGAACCAAAGCACAGGGGTTAAAAACAACAGAAATTTCCAAAGGTACAGAATGCATCATCAATTAAAGAAAAGTAAAATGGTGACTTAATTTTTTTTTGGTACAGCGCATCCAGTTACCATATAAAGGGACCATTTACAAAATAACAATAAAAATTATTATATTCTATCTTCCCATGCTTTTAGAGGTCCTTTAACCAAGAATTTATAGATTGGGGGAGGAGGGGTATGTTTACCTGTGTGTGAGCAAGTAATGCCTCTTAGGCAAAAATTTGAAAGTATTAAAAAATACGTATTAAAAATATCAGTACAACATGCATCTTTCTTTGCATATTCATGATTACCTTTTTCTGGTACTCCAGTTTTGAGAAGGATCACCATTGTTGTGCATCAGCTAACCAGTCCTTTGCAGTATGTGAAAATTGATTTGGCTAGTTACTAATAAACTTTATGTAACTATCAACAATTACATAAACTTAGCTGTAGCAAAGATATATCATCTAACTGCTTGTTAAACAAGAGCATTACATTTACTTCTTAAAATGCATTAATTCAAATTTGTAAAATGTGCCAGAGCAGTAATAGTAGGTTATTTTATCTGCAAATAGTACACATTTTAAATGGAAAATATATAATATGTAATTACTAGCAAATGCAGCTAAGGCATTCAATTAACCAAAGAAGAAAACTAAGGAAAGTAGAACAAAAAAAATCTTGATTCACCTTAGCTTCCATGTGCATTTCCTATATGACACAATTAGAAATAAAACTTACTTCTCTCCAGGGTTCCCTTTGGTGGAAGTTGTGGAAGTTGCCGGCCCCTTCGTCCTGCCACTGGAGTGCTTGATGGGCTTGTTTGGACAGACCCAGTACGAGGATGAGACCTACGAAATACACATTAATATTCACTTTCAATATAATGAGTTAAATACTTTTAATACATTTGCTTCACATGATAGCTGTATAAATGCAATTTTAAAAGAGGTTTAGCTGCTGATTAAAAGGTTAGGAAAGTAAGACACAATATGGATATTGGAATGATTATCTAAACAGCCAAAGATGTTTAAACTTTTGTGTTATATGTGTACATACACAGATACATGCACGGAGAATCCTACAGTAAAAGCCGTGGGATTATTCATGTAAATTCATACAAAAGTAAGAGGAGAATTCTGCAGCTCAGAATAATAAAAGGTAATGTCTTACATTTCTTTCTACCAGATTTCAAACTCTTCACTCTAACCTCTCTCCCTTGATACAAAGAGCTTTTTACTCAGGCTTATAATAGATAACACTTCATTAGAAAATACCTGATGAAACTACAAATAAAACCCTGCACAATTCAACATTCAGCTAAAGAAGGTAATGGGTAATACATGATATTAGTATTGATAGAAAGAAACTAAAAAATCTAGTTTTGTCACTATGATGACTATTCCAACAGTGATGTCTAATGAAGACAAACAATTTCTCATTGTGTAGGAGGACATGGTAGTCATGAGGTGCGTCATGTGGGGATGTACCCAGGACTACTGATAAATGAGAAATCACAAAACAAATGCAGTCAGGACAGTTCAACGTTTTACAATGGTAGCCACACACTATTATATCCGCTGAATATAAATAGTGTGCTTACACTGAAAAGGTTAGTATTGACTGTTATTAGTGATCAGCCAAGGATGATAGAAGAGACCAGTTAGCGGCTGGGAAAATAAAATGGTGTGCTGGTGGGGCAAAGGGGAAGTTAGTCTGATGGATTGATCTTTCACCTCGATAAGGCAGGTGAAGGAGGGGCAGATCTTCCGGTCATTAATGAAGGCATCGACCTCATGAGGTTTGTGTCGGGACGCTCAGTGGATCTGGAGCGGGCGGTGGTCCGCTCTAGGACGGGCCGCTGTTCTGTTGATCTGGATCTGTGATAGGGCTGTCTATCTGCTGCTTCACAATCCCTGAAACGTTAGTCAAAAAGCAGCTCAGTCGATCTTTAGTGCCTTTCTGCTATTTGGTTATGATGCATCAAATTGATTTTGAAAAAAAAAGTAATTGTTTAAAATCACTGCGTATGTAAGAAAAAAAATTCTCTTCCCCAACATACTCTGAGCAAATTCTCACTAAATTTTTAAGATTTCCGAAGGAACCCAAATCTGCCTTAAATAGCTATTCCCAGTGAAGATAAATAGGAGTTGGTCAGTAATGTTCAAAGACAAACAAAACTGCCTGCTTTGCGAAGTGAATTCCCTTTGGAATATGTGAAATATGTAAAGTATCTACTTTAAAAGAATTCAATAAATTTTTCTAACATTTTCAAAAGAGTGGGGGGAACCATATAAGCACTATTCTCAGTAAACCCCTAAGGCTGTTTATTACACCAAATAAGATATGAAAAGATTTTCAACACAATCATAGTGTACTGATACACCTGAACATTCAAATAGAAGGATCCAGATGTTCTAAGAAAACAGAGCTACTTTGCAGTCTGTAGCCATATTTAACCATGGTCTACAAGAAAAACCACTCGATAGAAAACTGGTGAATCAGCCAACCTCTGACATCTATCTCAGTGCAATTCAGTGATGCCAACCAATACAATTCAGAATGGGTATGAACTGATTGAAATAATAATGGTTCTGAAACAATGTGATCACTTTGACCACAAATAAATTAACATCAAGTCCTGATCCTTGCTGAGAGGAATCTACCATTGTTGATTTCTTTTTTTAGCCCTGGAGTCTATCATAATGCTTTTATATCTAACATGTGGCCAATGAATGTTTTCTAATGCAAACCCCATTTTCAGTGAGCCAACCCTAAAAATACTAACTTTGACTCTAGAACTCTAAATAATACATAATCTAAAATACACTGCAAATCAAACTATTACCTCCCCATCTAGTTGTAACCACAGAAATGGTAATGCTTATATATTATAAACTAGAGGCCTGATGCACGAAGATTCGTGCAAGAATGGGCGTTCCTTCCCCTGGCTGCTGGCACCGCCTTCACTCCAGCCCGGAGATGGCTTCCCGCCTTCCCACGCTGCTCAGAGGCCCTGAGAGGCTGGGGTGGTGCAGAACGCCTGCGTCATTGCCATGGCGACGACGCAAGTGTCCTGTCCCCCAACCACTGGCACCTGCGTATGCAAATTAACCCACCATCTTTGTTGGGTTAATTTGCATACTCACTCCTGATTGGCTGGTGGGCAGCACAAAGGTAAAGTCAATTTGCATCTTTCTCTTTTATTAGTGTAGATGGAAAAGCAAGAATTAGTCTCCCTCATGACCAATGTATCAAGGATGTCCACTTTACCTATAAATTCTCTGTCTTATTTTTTGTAAAGAAATGCAAACAATTTAAAATTAAATAAGAAAGAACACAATTTCCCATATGTAATTAATTATATGACATACAATTTCAGATCAACAGATTAAATAACATTGTAGGAAGTGAATACTGGGTTTATTCTACAATGTATCTTATTATTATCTGACACTTTTATTCAAGGGTAATATATAAGTCAAATAGTTTTTAAATATTTTGAAGTCCATGTACCATAATATGATTTATTTCCTACATATTTTTATATGTGTATCCAGAAAATGCCAAAAAGCTGAGATTAAATACATATACAATATTCAATTACTTGTCAAAAAGAGGGAAAAAGGCAACATGGTAGTTTAAAAACTCATAATTCTATTTTTATTCTTAAAAAATAACTATTTTAGAGAAAACACTTCTTTTAGAAATAAATATGCTCAATAATTTGTTAGATTATTGGTGTACATACCTATGAATATATTTATCACAATAGATAACCAGAATCAAAGGGATATACATTCTTAGATTCCTTAAAAACCTATTTTAGACAGTATCAATATTTATATTATTTTCACATTTCCTAAGTTAATAATTGAACTATCTCATTATAAAACATATAGTAACAAAACTTAGTAGAATATCTATGACTACCCAAACAGAAATTCAGGCTATTTAATTTATTCATACAAAATTTGATTTATTCTGATTCTATCAAGCAATTTTTCCAAGTGAAAAGTGAAATGTTAAGATATACACACCTTCACTTCTTTGACACTATATTTTTAATAACTGGAATATATCATTGTGAGTGAAATCCAGGGAATCATTTGAATTGTGTTGCTATGTTCTTTGTCCTTTAAATGGTTCTGCTATTTATAAAGCAAATGGGTCACTCCTTAGGAAATATCCCTTAAAAATATATCTTTTTAGTGAAAAAGTTGTTTGAAGACTATAATCAGTTTTAAATTTTACTTACATTGTCTCTTCATTTCATAAATAATATAAGTTATATGATTTCCATTGTGTGAAATGGAAAATCTGTTAAAAAGTAAAACATGAAAAGAACCACAGATGGAGGCAGAGATTCCTGAAATGCTCCACCACAGTAAGTAGAATGGAAAGCTGCCATATTTTAAATTTTGATTACACAACAGAAGGTCAAGGTAACTTCTGCTCCCACGATAGGTCTTATTAGATAAGAACTAAGTAATTGCTGAGAGCATCGAAAGCAGCCAAGCCTAAGTCTCATGAAACGCCCAGTCTCATAGCAGGTTTTTTAGGTGATTGAAATTTAAAGCTTGACAACCTACACTTAGTCAATTTTCATTTTAATGTAACATAAATAATTAATTCTGAATACAGAGTAGCAACTGAGATGTGGGAAATAATGGAAAACCATTTACAATGCATAAAACATTTTAGTGCCTATTTGGGTTTCTTAACTTGGGGTCTGTATTTCAATGTAAGTAATTTCCTTTGCAACCCTACTTGTGTGCTTTATTTTACTTTATGCATTTTATATATTTTTATTTTTATTGATTTTAGAGAGGAAGGGAGAGGGAGAGAGAGACCGAAACATCAATGATGAGAGAGAATCATTGACTGACTCTCTCCTGCACGTCCCCTACTAGGGATCGAGCCTGCAACCTGGGCATGTGCCCTTGACCAGAATCGAACTGGGACCTTTCAGTCCACAGGCTGATGCTCTATCCACTGAGCCAAACCGGCTAGGGCTTACTTTATGCATTTTAAAACATTATTCAAAAAAGGTGGCCATAGGTTTTACAAGATTGCCAAAGGTTTAGAACCACATAAAAATTTAAATCTTTCTTAGGTAAATAATTTGTTGTCTTTCAGAAAGTGATTTAATATATGTCATGGTTCTATCCTTTAAATAAATTGGTTATATTTTCTAATATATGTTTTAAATAGTTCACTTTTTATACATGTCATTTACCTGGATAGATTGCTGCTCTGCCCTATGTAGTGGTTGCTATTCCAAAATGCAAGCATTTGGAGAGGACACAGTTGAATAGCCGTCTGCACACAGAGCTAACTCACATTGACTGACAGTATTGTAACAAGAGCCAGTAATTGTTACACCCAGCTTTGAAAGCATATACTAGCACACGATGCTATTGAGATGAGGATTTCTAAAGAAAAAGTAATTTTATAATCATCCAGTGAAACTGCCATTTTCAGTCATTTTTCCTCTCCGTATAGTTGCTCTTAAAAGATTTTTTTTAAAAAAAATTCCAGGTATCTGCCACAGCTTCCTGCTTATTTCACCAGTTTTGCTACTTATTTATCCTATTTTAAATCAAGTACAAGAAATTTATGCAGTATAGCAGGAAGAATAGGCCACAGAACATTCTTTCCATAACCACTAGTATCAACCATCACAATGATACAACTCCAAATCAACATAAGCTCAATGCAGAGTATCTCTCTCGATATGATAGAATACAAATACTACTCAAAAATTTAAAACAACCAGCACAATGCAAATTTTCAAAGTAATAACTCAGATATGTCAGTGAAAACTGTCCTAAAATATAACTCAGACCCTGCAGTCTATGCTTAAATCAGTCTTATTTCATGTTTATATTGTAAAGATGCCCTAGTAAACCTAACAGGATTTCTTAAAAAATAAACCTTGTAAAAAAGTAAAGCTGTTTGCCCTAGCTGGTTTGGCTCAGTGGATAGAGCATCGGCCTGTGGACTAAAGGGTCCCAGGTTCGATTCCAGCCAAGGACACATGCCTGGGTTGTGGGCTCAATCCCCCCCCCCCCCCGCCCCAAGTAGGGGGCGGGCAGGAGGCAGCCAATCAATGATTCTCTCTCATCATTGATGTTTCTATCTCTCTATCCCTCTCCCCTCCTCTCTGAAATCAATAAAAATATATATTTTTTTAAAAAGTAAAGCTGTTTAGGAATTAGTTTTTATTTTTATAAAGAAATTATTTCTGCCAGAACTGGTTTGGCTCAGTGGATAGAGCATCAGCCTGTGGACTCAAGGGTCCCAGGTTCGATTCTGGTCAAGGGCATGTACCTTGGTTGCGGGCACATCCCCAGTGGGGAGCGTGCAGGAGGCAGCTGATTGATGTTTCTCTCTCATCGATGTTTCTAACTCTCTATCCCTCTCTCTTCCTCTCTGTAAAAAATCAATAAAATATATTTAAAAAAGAAAAGAAATTATTTCTTTCCAAAGCTGAAATATTTAAAAAATTATGTCTCTCTGGGGGCAAGGAGTATAATCTCAGGCTTGGTGTAAGACATGCCTCCCTATACCCACACTGTGTAACACAGGAAACTGATTCACACAACAGAAGCATTATACCTTTGATAAAATAGCTTAAATGTCTAGAGATTTTCTGAACATGAGCTGCATAGTATAAGAAATAAATACATAATAACATTTTTAAACGAAAAAAAATTTTTTTAAATGAGACATTTTAGGGTAATTAATGTAACATATATAGGTATAATGTAACAAATAATTTAAAGTAATCCTATGGCTCAACTGTATAATTTTCATGTTCATCATAATGTAAGAGGTAAAAGTTTAACTTTTAAAAAAACTCTAGCTTATATTAGTTTAGCATTGCTTTCAAAGTTAAAGAAATGGCAAGACA